CCTGACTCTGCACTGGATCTAGGACGCTCCCACCAAACTTCTTCTCTGTCTCCTTCCCTCGGATTCAGACTCGCATCAAAATTTGCTGTTCTCCCAGCCTTTCTGGCTCCTTCCCCATGTCTTCTCACAAGGCTTTCTCCTAACAAATTCCTGGCATTATCATGCTATGCTGTTCTGGGGTCTGCTCCCCACAAACACTGAAACACAAGTGGCATCGGGAATGACCCACAAATTCAGGCAGAAAGATGGGGATGGGGAGCGAGCTCCCACATGCCTGGCAGACCAGGAGTCCACAGACCACGCTGGAAGGTGGGACACAAAGGGCGGCTGAACCACCTCAGGTGTTACTGGAGGTGAGCCGAGAAACTGTCCTGGTCTAGGGGAAAGCTATGGCAGGTGGGATGACAGAAGCTGGTGGAAAGTAATTGGGCGGGGGGGAGCCTGCAGAATCAGTGGAGGTCCAGGTTACTGGTGATTTCTACTGATGCATCATAGAAAGATCATGGGAATCTGAGGGCTATTAACAAGCAGTGAGTGGCTAGACAAAAGAGCCTCTACAGTATCTTACAGAGGGAGCCGTGTCCTGTAGAGGAAGGTGCCTAGAGCTGAATGGCAGCTGAATCATAATGGGAGAGTGGAAGAAGTCCAGAGAGGTTTGGACACTCAGCATGGCAGACCTGTGAGGTGACAGTCAGTGCCCCTGTGGGGACACCTAGGATCCTGCAGACTTGATTAAGTTCCTCCCAGTGGATGCCCTTCAGCACCTTCTGGACACATGAAGAAGGCTCGCCCTTCTCTAGTAATGGTTAACACTTCCTGTGCTGGAAGATGGTGCAGAAGTCTCATCCCTAGATGCATGTGGTGTCCACTTAGGAGTTTTGCAAGAACTACCCAGCATGCATGTGTAGGAGCATGAGCAGCAGCTCTGGGACTGGATTCTGTGGGTGCTTGATCAAGGGACCGGAATGTCAGGCTGGAGATGGAAAAATGCATTGCCTGGGGTCACTTTTCAGGATGTGGGTTTATCCAGAACCCCAGGACATGGGGCAATCTCACTGTTGGGGTGGCTCTATGTAGACTGGAAAAAGCGTCTGACTCTCCACAAGGTAGACCTATAGTTGCCCCAGTAGACAGACAGTAAAGGATGGGATAAAGAAGCTGAAGGAAGTGGACATGTGGAATGCAGGCATGATATGAGGCCAGAACACCCACCAGAGGATTATGTTCCTCAAGAAGATCCAGAAGACTCACCTTTCCCCAAAGCCAAGGTGCTGGCAAGAGAAAACTGCATCATTAAGAAATTTGAGGGTACTTTCCTCTACAGGGCAGGGATCATGTCAGGGATGGATGTCCCAGAGTTAGCTCATTAATATCAGTGGAGATGAAAGGGCCCTGAAGAGACGAGTGGAAGCTCCGTGATTGGCAGATTGGATGAAGGACATCCCGTAAGTACACCTCGTTATTCCCCTTCCCCCCAGTTATTCAATCAAACACTCAAGGTGCTGCTGGGCAGGGACCTTGTTGATATAAGTAAGGTCTCAAATCAGCTGACTTTAAGACAGGGAGATTCCCTGACTGTCCTGATGGTGAGTCTTTAAAGGGCTGGGCTCTTCCTGAGCAAAAAAGATCCTAAGTGTGAAAAGGATTCAATGTGAAGGGTTTTCTCTATTGTTGGCTTTGAAAAGGGAGGGCAAAATTGCAAAAATGCTTGTGGGGATGGGGACCATTCCAGCTGGCAAGGAAATGGGGACCTCAGTCTTATAACTGTAGGAAACAGAATTCTGCCAACAGTTCTGTATAAACTTGAAGGAGCAGCCCACCTCAAGAAGAGAACACAGCTTTGTGAAATCCTGAATAAGAACCCATCTACACCATGCCTGAATTTCTTTTTCTTTTTTTCACATAGGGTCCATAGCCAACATGGGGCTCAAACTCATGACCCTGGGACCAAGAGTCACACACTCTACCAACTGAGCCAGCCAGGAGCCCCTTATGCCTGGCAAAAACCTGGTGTTGTTTTGAGCCATGAAGTTGTGGTAATCAGCTGTGCAGTAATAGAAAATGAATATCCAGGCTCACTGTGCAACAAATAAACACATAGCATTTCTTCCCCTGAAATGAATTTATGAACTACTGTGCACACTAATTGCATGCAACAAAACCTTTCTTGATTTTTTACTATATTCCCCTTTGTGATTTTTATGGAATGAATTAAGTTCTAATACAGTCATATTTCATTCATTCACTCATTCAACAACAATTAATTTAATGCCTCCTGTGTCCCAGGAATAGCTTTCTGTGCTGTAGATATAGTTTTCACCAAAATAGTCCAAAGCACCTGTGCTAGTGTGCTCTACATGCTAAAGGCTTCCCAGGAGTGAGATAGAGCATTTTCAGTGAAGACATGACATGAGCTGACTCACATCAGCAGGATTGCTGACCCCTGTGGGGACAAGGGCCCTGGATGGCAGGTGATGGGGAGACACCAGGGCCCCAGTTCAGGAGTGAGAGATGGTGGAGCCTAAGAGGAGGAGAGGGCCTGAGGGATGAGAGAGACAGAAGGGCTGCAGACGTAGGCTGAGGGAGAGAAGCAGAGGTAACAAATTCTAAAACAGTGGAATTCTCAGACTTAAATATGTTGGTATATAGATTTTTAATTCATATATATGTAAAGGGCTTAGCAAGATATTCTGTGCATCTGGTATTAACTATACTCTATAGGGCTGCCTGAAAACCAGTTGCCTCCTTATGATAATCAGATAATACCTAGAGCCCTATTAAAAATGCTCATGCCCAGGCACCTGGGTGGCTCAGCGGGTTAAGCCTCTGCCTTCGGTTCAGGTCATGATCTCAAGGTCCTGGAATCAAGACCCGCATCAGGCTCTCTGCTCAGCATGGAGCCTGCTTCCCCTCTCTCTCTGCCTGTCTCTCTGCCTACTCTCTCTCTCTCTCTGTGGAATAAATAAAAAAATCTTTTAAAAAAAATGCACATGCCTTAGGTCTGCACTCACACACAGGCAATGCATGGACATGGGGGAAGGGCATTTCCACTGCACTGAACACTTGCCACTTCTGGGTGATCCAAGCTTGGACAGGCTTCCAGCTGAAATACACAGTAACAATTGTGTGTCCCTGCACTGAGGTTATGTCCAGGACTCGCACAGACAATCTCGGGGCTAGGAAATGAAGATAATTTCAGAACACAGCAGTCACTTATATTGTTTGGGGAAACTGAAGAGCTTTGTGAGTCTGACTGCTGTGCTGTATGGTCACATTTCTGTGGGAAGGGGCCAAAATCCCTTTCCCAGACTAGACTGCTGATGTTCAGGGGTTATCAAGACCGTGCTACCACTACTGTGGGTCCACAAAAAGGACACTGGGCTCAGTGAGAATGTGCAGCTGGTGCACTAGACCCAGCTTCTCCAGGTGTAAAGAGAAAGCCCTGTCCCTCCATCTCTGTTCCCAGGACTGCCCTCTCTCTGGTAGCAAATGCCCTGGGGTGAGTTTTCTCTAGAAGAATCCAGAGAAAGAGACAGAGGTGAGGGGTGAGAAGAAAGAAAGTCCAGTTCAGCAAATATTCCGGAAAGGACGAGGGGAGAAGAGGGGCTGAGTCCAGCCTGAGGGTCTCTGCCTGGTTTCCTCAGAGCCCCTGGGCTCTTCTCAGAAGACAGGGTGACAAAGTGATTACCTGATCACCGTTCAGGAGGAGAGGGGTCAGGACAAAGTCTCAGATCCCCAGGAGGGACTGGTCTTCAGAGTCTCAGGAGCAAGGGCGGCGGTGGTGTAGGGAAGCCCAGCGCCAGAGAGTCTGCATCTCCCCGGGTTTCATTTCTCCCTTTCACAGCCTGTGTCTGGTCCTCCTGCCTGGATACCCATGACGCGCAAACATTTCGCACTCCCATTGGGTGTCACGTTTCTGGAGAAACCAATCAGCGGCACCGGGGTTCCAGGTTCTAAAGTCCTCTCCAGGCCCGCCGGGACACCGCTACTTCTCGAACCCTGAGGGTCTGGGTCGCGGGGTCCCGAAACAGACTCCTGTTGCTGGCTTGTGCCCTTGCCGTGACCGAGACCTGGTCAGGTGAGTGAGGGGGCGGTAGGAAGAGGCAGCTGCGGGGCGGGAGCGAGAGGACCTCCCGGCGGGGACGAGGGACCCCCGGGGAAGACGCCTCACAACCGCCCCCGGCCCCGGACCGGCCCCACCGCCGCCCTGCTCTCCCGCACTCGGTGCCCGCTCCCCCTGCCCTCCAGGCTCCCTCCACCTGAGCCCGGGGCCCCGTGCCCAGAGGAGGGTCGGGCGGGGTCACAGCCTCTGTGCGCCCAGAGGCTCGGGCTCCGTGAGATATTTCCACACCTCCGTGTCCCGCCAGGCCCGGGGAGCCCTGCTCTGTCCCCCACTGCCCTCCTGCCTCCCGCCCCCCGCTGCCTGCATTCTCCTCGTTCATCTGCTCCCCAGTTCCAGCAGAGGGGCCCTCTCCGTCCCTGTCTGTGCTTCTCTTCCCCGGGAGCTGCCGCTCATAATCTCTGGTTGAAATTAAAACTCTGGATGCAGTTTGTTTGCTTCAGTGCTTGCCTGGAGGGGTTGATGCATTGCTTACAAAACGGAGGATTCCTAATGTTCCAGAGAGGAAATAAAAGCACTGAGAGCCTTCCGGGTTCCGCAAGCTTGCTGGGCTTCCTCTGGGGGTGGGGACAGGAGAGGCTGTGAGGAGCCAGCATGGAGGGACTGTGCCCAGCCTGTGCTAGGTGCATCCTGGACTTTGACATGGTCACTCCTCTTTTTGGTCATCATCCCTGCTACCTTGACCCTGTCCATTCAGTGGAACCTTGTCCCACCAGGCCCTGGGGTCACAGGGACTCATATCTCTCCTGTCTCCAGGACCTTGTGCAGGAAGAGCTTCCTGTGAGGAGGACAGCCTAGACTCAGAACTGAGTCAGGAGTGGGCCCCCAAGTTTTGTGTGTCTTTTTTCCTCCCCCTCTCCCTCCCCATCTCCCTCCTCATCTCCCTCCTCCTCCTACTCCCCCTCCCATTTTTTTATTTTTCTATGCAGACTTAGACCAGTTCTTCCCCTGTAGGAGTTCTGGTCTCAGGTTCCTCTGGTGTCCCTAAGTCTGTGACAGCCCCAGGGCTCCTTTGGCCTCTCATTGTCCCCACAAGACCCAGTGAGCTCCTGTACACAGGAGTCTCTGTGAAATTGAGAGATGAGTTTTCAGACCCATCCCATCTCTTCTCATTCTAGGACTGTCCTGGATCATTATTTCCATCTTTCCCCCCATAGCTTCTAGAAAGCAGATTCTGGAGTTAGAGACAGGATCTGGTGGTTTCTCATCATTACTAAACTTTGCTTAGTTTCTATCTTCTCTGCTCACCTACCTGCCAACCTGCCCTTGGCTCTGGTAATCCTTTTTCTGGTTCTGCTCCTGATTCATGGAGTGATGAAGCAGTGTCTAATTTGAATCCACATTTGTCTGGAATATATGACCCATAAGACTATGCACAACTTTTCTGAAGGAAGAACTGTCATTGTTTCCTGTGCTGTGCAGGAGGGATGGTGTGGGAAGGAGGACATGGGGACATGGATGAGACCATCACTGGTGAGAAAAGTGGCAGCTGCCACAAACAGCTATGGCCTGAGGCTCATCTAGAAGAGAGAAGTGCTCTTTGTGGATCATTTCTACAAGTGATAATTGAGCGTCAGACACAGGGGCACTACTGTAGTATCTAGGACACCCCAGTGAAGTAGAAACAGACAAAATGGGCCCACCTTGTGGGGCGTATGTGCTGGTAGTGAGGGGCAGACTGTGCTAGTAACTAAGGGAAGTGTGTGTTAGAGGTTGGGAAGTTCAGTGAGGAAGGGGACCCAGAGGAGACCCGTGTGGAAACAGGGAAGATGGCTACTTTACTGGGGTGGTAAGTGTGAGCCTCACTGAGGAGGTGATCTCTGAGGGAATTGAAGGACATGAAGGAATTGTGTAAGAGGAGGTCTGGGGGGAGTTCTTTCCAGGCAGAGAACCTCCGGTGCACACTCACTAGGGCAGGGGCGTGTCCCGTGCTCAAGAAAGGGTGAGGAGGCCACCATGGCTGGAGTAGAGAGCAGGTGACATGAGGTCAGATGCCCAGGATTAGAAGGGTTTTGAGTTTTCTCTGAGTGAGATGGAGTTAAAGATGGTTTTGAACAGATGATCCACCTGGAGGACTTGTTTTAGAAGCACCTGTTTGCTGCTGTGCAGAATTGAGACGTACAGTGCAAACAACCAGTAGGGAAACTGTAGGAAACCAGTGCAGTGTCGCGGGCCTGGGTGGCTCAGTTTTTTAAGCATTTCCTTCAGCTCAGGGAAAGTAATAGGAAGTAATTGGGTGCTAGAGATATTTAAAGATGGACTTTGCAGCATTTCCTAATGGATTCATTCCGGGTGGTGAGAAGGAGGAATCAAGGAGGGCATCCAGTATTTCAGGTAGAAATGTGTAATGCCTTCCTTGGATATGAGGAAGATTCTGGAAGCAAGGACATTTGGGGAAACACCAACACAAGCATCCAACTTAGGAATATTAAATCTGAGATGCCTACTAGAAATGCAAGTGAGGGGGCTCATGGGTGGCTCAGTACACAGAGCAATTGAGTCTTGGTTTCAGCTTAGGTCATGATGTCATGGTCCTGAAATCCAGCCTTGCATTAGGCTACCCAGCCATCGCGGAGCGTGCTGGAGAATCTGTCTTCCCTCTCCCTTGTCCTTTCCCTGCTAATGTTCTCCCTTTAAGTAAATAAATAAATAAAATATTTTTTTTTAAAGGAAAGAAAAAAAGAAATGCAAACAAGGTGGCAGTTGGATAGTGCAGGGGAGGAGAAATATCTGGGTTGGAGAAATAGATTTGGAAGGTGACAGCATATACATGATGAGCCTTCAGCAGAGATGAGGTCACCAGGGGGGGCGAGGGCCATAGAAGAGAAAGGAATAGGACCAAACCCTGGACTCCTCAGGGCTAAGCAGGCTGATCAGAGCACCCACAGTACACTGCACAGTCTGGTTCTGTGTCTAGAAGGCACAGAGACCAGGGAGGCCCAGCCTTCAGTGTACACAGGAATTTCCTGGACTATGAAGATCTAGGCAGTCTGGGATAGAGTGTGAGATTCTGGGTTGATAACAAGGTTGGTGCTTCTGCTTCTGGTCTTCAGATCCCACACTGAGTGGTGAACACAAGAAGCAGGATCCCCACATGGCCGTGCATCAGCCTTTCCTGTAGGGCTGCTTAATTAAGTAAGTGATTCCTGGGCCCTCGCAGAGCATTCTAAGACGGTGGGGGGGAGGCCTGAGTATTTGGTACCAAAGCCACAAGCAATCCTGGGGTTCTGCCAGAGAGGGAAGAAGCACTGAAGTCCTTGAGGAGAACGCTCAGTTGGGGAAGAGTCTTCCATACACATTTATTGTTTTTTTTTCATAGGAAGAAAAATGCAAGGCATGCTGGGAGATACATATTTTTTCTCTCATGGGGCACAGCCAGGTGGCAGACTGAGAAAGTGGTTGTCAGCTCAACAAAAAGAAAAAGTCTGATTGCTGAAAGAGTAGGTCTTAAATGTTCCCACCACACGCACACACCGGTAACTGACAGGATGCAGGTCTTAGCTAATGCTACAGTGGTAATCAGTTTGCAGTTTGTAAATAAATCAGATCCAAAGGTTGTGCCCTTAAATTTATAAACTATTATGTCAATTATATCTCAATACTACTGGAAAAGATTTCTGAATCCATGCTCTCTGAAAGAATTCCTTCACGCATTCCTCACTCCTTGTTTTCAAAACAGAGTCCAAGTTGTTTCAATTGAAACTATATATATTTATAAAGAAATATATTTGTATATATGTATTATCAGGGAGAATCACATATATAATTTAAATGTAATATAAAATATAAATTTTATGTAATAAAATAAATATTAAAATATATTTTGAGAAAAAGGAATATGAGATATTAAATATAAATTAATTCACATATTGTAAATAGATATATTTGTAAACAAATATATGTATTATGTGTAGATAACATTAGAGTACTGGGTCTCATTTCATTTCAGGGAAAGCCACACAACAGACCCAAGGCTGCACAGGCAGGAACAGAATCCACCTTCACACCCCAGGTCAAGGCCTAAAGAGGAACCACTGCCCCCGGTGCTGGCCACAGGTCCCACTGTTCACACCACTGCACCCTGAGGCCAGGACTGCTGTCACTACTGCTCCTGGCAGCTGGATGACATGATGGCTACTCCTGCCACCTGTGCCAAATGCATGCAGCACTGTCCCAGCTTCTCTGTCACACACATCCCAAGTAAGAGTCTGGCATCTGGTCACCTGAATGATGGAACCTCAGGCCCTGTCCCCCTGCAACTACATGTGACATCCCGACTCTGATCTGGATTCCTGGGGAGTGATCACCAACATCCTCCGACTTGAACTCTTCATTTAGTCTGGTCTCTGCATTCCTAGCCACAGGCCTGTGAGAGGCCACACATTCAGGTGGTTCCCAAAGTCACCCCTGCTGGAGGCAGATCCCAAGATGGCCCCAGTGTTCCCATCCGCCGGTATCATGCTCTTGTGTAATAATACCCACTTTGGGAACAGAAGCAGGACATAGTGACTTGCTGGTGACACACAGAATAGAGTGAAGTCATGCAGTGAGTATCTGGAATCACCAGGACACAAGATATGAGGGGCCTGGGGTCCACAGTCTCAAGGAGGGTGGTCCAAGCCAGGCTGGATAAGTGCAGATTTCTGGTGGAACTGCATGACAAAAGACTCTGCATTCCTTTTCCCTCTGAGGGGTTTCTTCTCCAGATCTCAGCCCCCACAACCACTGCCCTCAGACAGGAGGAGGGGGAGGAAAGGTCACCAGCAGGGATTCTCATCCTGGCTGCAGTCAACAGGGGAATTCTGTAAAAAGTACAGGAAGGGGAGAGAAGAAACACAGGTCCCCAAAAGTAACAGCTGGTGAGTCCATGCACACCCCCAAGACGGCCCCGTGGCTACAAAGATGAGAGGAGAACAGCCTCCAGTCTCCCCATGCTGCCTCTGGGGCCCAGCTCTCCTTTCCTCCAACCAGACAGTGTCCCAAAGAGCCCCCAGTGCTGCCCCCTGTGTATCTGTCTCTGTTCATCTCCAGAACAGACCACCACGCCCACCCCTCCAGGAAACCCTCCCCTCTCCATATGCATTAGTTCAGTTGTGTGCAACAGAAACCCAGCTAACAGTGGTTGTCCACGGGACAGCAGCTTGTGTGTGTCCCATGAGTGAGGTGAGCCCTCTGGGACTGTAGTGTCACTCTGCACCACGGGACTATCCAGAAACGCTGGTAACGATGACCCTGGGACGTTTCCTTATTAGCATGAGCAGGGCACCTAAGATCATGTCCGTGGTCCGTGAGCAGGGAAGGGAAAGCAGAAAAAGTGGATGTTTCCTGCCTTTTAGGACAAAACCTGCTACCACATTCTGCGTCCCCATAAGGGCCAGAATGTAGTCACACAGACAAAAGTAGCCTCCAGGGAGGCTGGTGACTGAGGCTCTTTTTAATCTGAGGGAACATGTACTCCATGAAATTGTGTCGCTGTGGAATGAGGATCATTTCTGCTTTACTTAAATTTTTAAAAATCACCTGTGGCAGAATGGTCATTACCAATACCTAATATCAATATCGAATCCTGAATGAATTCTGTATGTAAAAACTGGGATCATCTCAGAATATATTGTTAATTGAGAACAAAGTTAGAGGTAGATTATTTGGTAAAATGCCACCTCCTAAAATGGAAATCTCTCCTATAATAATACTGTAGAAACTGGTAACAGCTCTTATGTCCCAGGGGAGAGTTTGGAAGAATTGTGGAGGGAATAGAGGAGGAAATTTACTTTTCACTGCATGCTCTTTTTTGTTATATAAATGTTTTCAACCTTGTGCATGTATCAGTCTGTTGAAATAAATTCTGAATTGCCCGAGAAACCCTACCTCCATTTAGCAGACACATAATAGGCAGTAGCAGATGTCAGGCTCTCTGCTAGGCTCAGTGAGAGAAACATGAAGGAATTCAGAGTGGGGTGAATAACCTGGTAAATGTACCTATCCTGATGAGGTTTGCGGAAATAGCCACCACGCAGAAGCTAACTGAGTGCCTACTGTGGGCCAGGCGTTGTACTACATGCTTGGGACAGGAAGAAAACACAGAGTAAAGACAAAGGTCACACCTTTGTGACCTACCTGTCTCATGCTCATGAGGTTCTGTACCAACTCCTGACTCTCCGGAAACCCTACTACTGTCTTGTCCCTGTGTGGGAAGGATCTGAGACTTGGGAAGAGAACCTTTGCCCATTTGGTCCAAAAGTTATTAGGAAGATTTAATTAGAGAATAGTGACTTCCTAATGTAACTGACTCATCAATACAAGAGAAAATCTCTAAGAAATGATCTGGATGAAAGGAAAAAAACTGACAGAGTGGAATCACAGGAAATGTCTTGGTGGAATCCCATCTGAGGCAGACTGAGAGAAATAGTGGGAGACCAGGATTAGCCAGGCAGCACGATGCAGGAAAGAAACAGAATGGTTGAGTGTAGTGATGGTGCTTTCCTAGAGATTTAAAAGGTCTGACAAATGAGGAGGGAAATATTCAGAGAGGACGACCTCTCAGGTTCTACAAAGTTGAGACAGACCTTTCCAAATGACAGCGTGATTCTTGTAGCTACGACCCTGCTTGGATAACACAACTTAGCCTGCAGATCATCTCCAGCATGGGACCCAGAGTATAATTATGTTGCTCAGTTACTCTGCAGGGTAATAGCCTGGTAAGTACAGATTTATGAACACATCCAGTGCAGAGACCTTGCTACCCTCCATTCCTTCCATCTGTCACCTGGAACATCCCTGTGCAGATTTTATAATAAGGCCCAATGGTCCCCACCTCCTGGTCCACATGGCCTTGTGGAATCTCCTCCTACTGAGAAGATACGAGAATATCTTCTAACGAGTAAAATGTGGCAGTGGTGACCTTGGAATATATACAATCATGAATTCCATTTTGCCTGCTGAGTTTCTACTGTCCTCTCCCCTTGCAAGCTTTGCTGAAGCAAACAGCTGTGTTGGAAAGACCAGAAACTGAGGTCAGCCTGCTGCCTACATCCAGCAAGACGCTGAGGCCCCCAGTCCACCAGCCCACAAGGAACTACTCAGTCTTCTCCAGAGGGCAGCACTCCCCTTTCTTGAAGACAGACATCCCATTTTCTCTTTACAACATGAATGTCAAGTTCTTACCATCTTACTTGCTTTCCTCTTGCTCTATCTGGAAAGGCCCATGAGGGAGCTACTGTCAGGCTATCAGGAAGTGCCACCTTCATGTCACTTCTCACCTTGGAGAGAAGGCGTCACCAGGAAGTCAGCTGGAAGAAGACAAGTCAGAGACAGCAGGATTGGTAGGTCATGAGTGCTCACCCCAGTGTCTCTCACTGTGCTTTCAGGCTGTGAACAAAGCAGTAAGTGAACTCTGCCCACCCACGGCTGGTCTCCCCACTTCTGCATGCTGGACAGCCCACCTCACACCCCAGATGCAGACTCCACTGATTCCCTACAGCCCAGATGTGACCTCCCTTCCCTCCACCTCCAGCAAACACACTCCATCAGCCAACGTACAACCAGCTCTCCTGTCGCCTCAAACTCCATGGACTCCCCTACAAGCATATGCCTAACAAGACTCAGCGCTGGAGAAGGAGAAGCTGTCAGAGCCACAGAAGGTCGTGACCCTTACAGAGGCTGGTGAACAGTGTCCTGGAGTTAAAAAAAAAAAAATGGTGGGCACTTGACTATTGGTCAGCACCTGACCATTTTGTTAGAGTCATGACTCAGCCAATTGACTCAGTTAACCTCATAGTGACCTTGGATTCCTTCCTTATAAATTGGAGTTGGCACCTTTCCCTATCTCACGGGGTTATTAGGACATTTTAAATGATTCAATTCATATAAGACCCTTAAAACTGTATCTGATGCTTTTATCAAGCAGAACCCTGGGTAGGAAGAGAGTCTCACCAATGTAGCTCCTGTTTTCTTCTTCCTACCATGACATGTACCAGTTCACCCCCTCACTCATCACCTCGAACCCCTCTGACTTTCTCACCTGCTGCAGATGGAATTTGTAACCCATGTGGTGGGGTGGGGCAACCATTAACTGGCCAGGGTGGAGGCAAGCATGAGAAATTCTCAGAGCAGGGTGCACGCACACACACTCAGGCATGCATATACACACAAACACTCATACATGCTTGCACGTGCTCACTCACACACATATATACAAACCTCCACACAAATTCCTGTACACATTCCTACAGGATTGTGAACCTGCCCCCCCCCCAAGACAGATATATGTACATGACACACTCACATCACATTTCCTACTTTATTTGGAGTCTGGCTTACTCTTACTTCCTCTGCCTAAGAAATCTAGGATCTTGATGGCAGTTGTGCATCGAATGATGAATTGGTAAAGAAGAGGTAATGGACAGATAGATAGACAGACAGACAGACACAGTGGAATATTACTTAGCCACCAAAAAGAAAGAAACCCTGCCATTTGCAACAACCTAGATGGAACCAGAAGGTATTATGCAAAGTGAAATAAGTCAGTCAGAGAAAGATAAATACTATTTGATTTCATTCATATGTAGAATTTAAGAAATAAAACAGATGAACATAGGGGAAAGGAAGAAAAAATAAAATAAAATAAAAACAGAGATGGAGGCAAACTATAAAAGAATCTTAATGAGGGTTGCTGAAAGTGAGGTGATCAGGGGGAAGGGATAATTGGGTGATGGGCATTAAGGAGGGTACATGATGTTAGGAGCACTGGGCATTATATGCAACTGATGAATCGCTAAATTCTACCCCCAAACCTAATAATAAAGTATATATTAACTAAATTGAATTTAAATACAAAATATTTTTTAAAATTTAGGATCTTGAGGGAGAAGGACCTGAGAATTTTTTTACCACCAAAAAGTGACCCGCCTCCCCAGAGCTCTGGTACACTCTGGATCTCCTGCATGCCTGCTCCTGGAACCCTCCTACCGAGCGGGAGATGTGAACTTAGATCCAGACCCTTGAATCCAGAGGCAGCCTGTGCATTGCCCCAGGTGGTGTTGGGGCTCTGGGGTCCAGCAGGTCTCGAGCCTAGAACCTTCTCCTAGCCTGCCCTCCCACCAGCCAGGGAAACCCCCGCCCCCCCCACCCTGAGACTTGCTGCACAGTGAGTAGCCTCCTTATATCTTTCAGAATAAACAGGAACAGGAGTTTCAGTTGAACCCTTGGGGTGAGACAGGCAGATCAGAATGAGGAAACAGATCTCTTCACCCCCTGAGTTTTTGTTGTTCTAGAACACAACTCTAGCAACTATAGTTCCAACAATCTAAACCTCTGCTAAAACAACCCCTATGATGAGAATATTAGGAGGAACCTGGCCAGCAGATGCCCCCTTGAGGAGCATGGTGGGCTGGGCAAATGGTTCAGGGGTGAAAAGGAAAACTGAGGTGTGCCCCTGTGTCCTGACTCTGCTGGAAGTCTCTAGAAGGCTCCTGGACCCTGATATCGGGCTCCACTCCTCATCCCCCCCCACCGCCCCGTCTCATGGTGATGGGCTCAGGCAGCCCCTCATGCTGCACACAGCACATTTATCTCTCTTCATCTCCAGAAGGCAGCACAATGGCCGCCCATTTCTGGATGGTTCCATCCCCTTCTGCCTGGTCTCCACAAACTCCTTGTACTAGATCTGGTTCTCCCTGGACCACTGACAGGTCACGGTCATCTCTGCAGGGCAGGAGCCCAGGGCACACAACCCCTCAGGTTGACCCCACAGTCAGGGGGTTGGGGGTGGGTCACGTGTGCTCTGGGAGGTTCTGTCGAAGAGCAAACGGGGAGCGCTAAGGCAAGGCCTTCTTGAAAAGCATCGACTCCACAGACCAAGATGTGATACCTGCTGAGGCTCTGCCTGCCTGCCAGGGCAAGGAAGGGAGTGTTCCCTTTCAGGGGGCAGAAGAAACCAGCAGTAGCCAGGCCCACGCCCAAGACAAGAGGGTGGGAACAGCCTCTGACATTTTCCTCCAAGGGAAGAGCCTTTACAGAGACTCTCCACCTGCTTATGAAGCCTATAACTCAGTACCTCTAGCTCAGTATTGATAGGTCCTCACAGCTACTGTGTCTCTGGTGGGAAAGAGCATGAAGAATGAGAAACCTCCATGAGCCTCAGAGCTACTGCCTGCTCTCCTGAGAGAACGTTCCCCAGTGTGGGCCTAGGAAGTCTGTGCCATGGCACTGCCCAGGAGACACAGGATGGGCTGCTGTCCTCAGCGCATGGCCCCCCGTCCCACACTAGATGTCCTCCATCCCCATGTGTGATTAGCGCTGGAGAGAGGGCAGCCCCAGGCTGAGCTGGAAGGAGCTGCAGGGCTGGGCTGTGGGGAGTCCTTACCAGTGCAGCTGATGTTCTTGCCCCAAACCCCAAGTGTCTCTGAAACAACAGGAAACGTGGGTTCTCAAGTCCATCTCGTCCCTCCATGAAGTGCCCACTGGCCTCTCATCTCTACTGGGGTAGCGGCAACGGTGAGACTACCATGGATGGCAGAGGCTCCATGTCCAAACTCAGTCACTGTCATTGTCCTAGTCCTCCTGTTACCACCCAAGGGTCCCGTTATCCTCCTGGAGCTCCCAGACACGGTGACCTGCAGGGTGGGGGGCCTGCCTACTTCCTCCCCAGGACCAGGCACTGTCAGTCAGTACAGAGCATGTCTCCAGGGCCCCCCAGCATTTCTCTCTGACGCCCCCCCCACCAGCTTCTCCATAGGGAACATTCACTGTCTAGACTGTGCTAGTGTGACACAGTAAGAAGGACGGACTTGGTCTTCCTCCTGCACAGTTCTTAAAACCTTTGTAGCAGCCTGCGTGATGGGAGTCATAGAAGCACTTCTTCTAAGATTTTGTTCCCAGATCCTGAAAAAGTACTGGAAAGATCCTGGCCCCATCCTTACACACTGTACCAAACCCCACTGCATACCGTCTCTCTCCTCTGATGCTGTGAGCCCTGAGAAGGCAGGACTCTGTCAGGGCCTGAAACAGAACCATCTGGCAAACTGTGGAGTTCCCGTTCCTGTACAGATCAGCTGGGAAAGTCTGAGACCTAATCGTGCCTTTCACTGGTTTATGCCTGGATCCCACATGCAAGGCCTTCCACTAACTGTTTTATTTACTAAAACCTCCAGACATTAACTAGAAATGATTAACTACACCTATGTCCTGACCTCCCTGTGTCCAGTGTCACCCACACCTTGCCCAGCCTAACAGCTGACTGCTTGGGACCTCACCCCCCATCAACCCAGATCGTACACACACATCAAGGTCTACACAGAGTTGCAGCTCATTCATGAACCTTCCCCCAACCACTGGAGGTCTGGCCTATGAACCCTATAAACCATGTCTCTGCTTCTCGTGTGACATCTAAGGAGGCGTCTGTCTTCAGTAGCTCTCAGTCTGCCTCACACGCTCGGTCATGTGCTCTCAGAAGGGTGGGCGCCTCCCCATCTTCATTGTAGGCTCTGTAAGGACAAACACTAGCTTATACCTTCTGGTTTCCCACCTGCAGGGACCTAAACTGTGTCCATGACCCACTGAGTCTGGTTAGTTAACCACTTAATGACAAAAAGACCCACCCCCTGAGCAGACTGTCCCCCCTTCACTCTCATGTGACAGCTTGTACACACCTGCCTGCCCCAGCCTCACACGGGGGGGGCACCTGACAAGAGGGTCTCACGTCCCTGGGGTGAGAGGTGTGCTCGACTCTCTCTGCTTTCTCCCAGGCCCCAAGCTGCTGACTGTCACGGGGTTTGGCGGTAGGATCGCTGCACATTCCTCAGGTTTGGGGGTTGCTCTTCATCTGGCTCATGAAGATCTTGGTCTCATCGTCTGAAGAACTCGGCTCCTGCGTGCACCACTGGACTCCAGACTCTGTCTCCCTCCCCTCAGGGTCATGGCAGGGGAAGATGGCCTGTCTGTGGAGCCCAAGGCAGGAAATGCAGGGCCTCCTGGAGCAGCTCCGACCCCCCTGAGAAGGAATAATGCAGAGAGCGCTGTGCTAAGGGAGGAAACAGGGGATTCAGAGGAGGCTCTAGGATTTGATTGAGGACCTAGTGATGCATGTGTGGGGAATGTGTGTGTATCTGTGCGCATATGTGTGTGTGTCTCTGTGTGTATTTGTGTACACACGTGTGTTGTGTGACAGGAGAGACAAGGCCCACAAGATAACACAATGGGAGACAACGACACAACATCCCTCCCTGTCTCCCACCCCTTTGACAGTCATATTCCAATCCCACACCCATGGTGCCCCCGTAGAATGCACAGATTGTGTGATTTCCTGCAAAGCAAACACTATTTGGCATATCCAGATTTTTTTTTTAAAATCTGTGCTACTTTTGTTGAAACTCACTGGTGTCTTGCTCTTGCCAGCCGTGTAAAGATGACATGCAGATCACGCCCCAAAGCTGTGTGAGAGCTGAACGTGTGAGCACATGCTGTCCGCGCTCCGGATGCAACGGAAATCATTGGCCATCGTCAAAAAGAACCGTTTGGGGACGCCTGGGTGGCTCAGTTGGTTAAGCAGCTGCCTTCCGCTCAGGTCATGATCCCAGCGTCCTGGGATCAAGTCCCACATCAGGCTCCCTGCTGAGCAAGGAGCTTCTTCCCTTGCCTCTCTGCTTCTTCCCTGCTTCTTCCCTCTGCCTCTGCCTGCCCCTCTGTCTGCCTGTGCTCTCTCTCTCTCTCTCTCTCTCTCTGACAAATAAATAAATAAATAAATCTTAAAAAAAAAAAAAAAGGAACCGTTTGTAGAACATTATAAATGAGCTGCACACAGGAACGCCCTGGGAACAGCAG